GGGTGAGCAGTGATGGGAGCGTGGGGCTGCTCTGCCACGGGCAGGAGGATGGTGTCAGGAGGTGATGGGCACGATCCCGGCTGAAGGGCGCTGGGGGAACGCCGGATCGTCCCTTGTGCCACGAGCCGCCACCGGGCAGCCCTGAGCCATGCCGGGCGCCTGCCGGGTAATTGTGAGTTACGCTCCAGGTTCCCGCGAGGTGCAGAGATTAATAACTGCGCCGCGCTGCTGCCAGCCAGTATGATTAAACTCTTGATTAGAAGCTCAAACTACAGTGCCCTGCTAATTCCCCTGCTCTCACACGCCGTTAATTACCCGGTGCGGGTGGCAGTGGGCTCGGGGCTCGCGGGGCTCGGTGCCGCATAGGGGACGGGTGCAGGGGGTGCCCCCGGGCTGCCTCTGCCTTGGGGCGCTGGACAGTCTCCCTCTGCACAAAGGGGAGATGCTGGCTTTGGGGACAGGATGCTGGTGTCCCCTGTGCGTGGCTGGGATGCTCTGTCTGACCTGGGCTCCGGGTCTCCGGAGAGGACGGTCACATCCCCGTGGCAGCTCAGGACGGCGCGGGCCGGGTGGTTTTGGGGAGCTGGGTTTCGGCGGGTGCAGGGGGGGGACGGGAAGGGAGGGGAAGGGGGATGCAGCTCGGAAGCGGCACCATATGGGCCGCAAATGCCAGCGCGCAGCACGCAGCCGTTCGGGAGGCTCTGCACAAACGGCTGAATTTCGTGAGCAGCGAGGTGCTGCTGGGGCTGGGGGCCCCGCTGCGCCCCCGGGGTTGTGCTAGGCAGAGTTAAGGGGATGGGGGTGGCTGATTTCTTGCCCCTTGGCCTGGGCTGTGGGGCACAGACAACCCCTGCAGGTGGGGGAGAGAGTGGGGCCTTTGGCCCTACAGCTGGGGGAAGGATGAGGGAAGTTGCCTGGTTCCCATGGGACCACGGTGCGGAGGGAAGACCATGTGCCTGTCCGTCTTTTCATGGAGCCTCTTAGTGCCATCAGGGGGACAGGTACCTGTGATGCTGAGCCCACACTCAGCAATGCTAGTAACGTGCTCCCTTCCCGTGTCATTCCCATCCTTCCCATCCCATCCCATCCCATCCCATCCCTTCCCATCCATCCCATCACACTCCATCCCATTCATCCAGTCCCATCCCATCCATCCCATCCCATCCCATCTCATCCCATCCCATCACACTCCATCCCATTCATCCAGTCCCATCCCATCCACCTCATCCCATCCCATCCCATCCCATCCCATCCCATCCCATCCATCCAGTCCCATCCCATCCCATCCCCTGCTGTCCCGTCCCATCCAGGGATGGTGGCCACGGTAGCGCCCAGGGGACCCTGGCTCACCCCGGTGCTCTGTGTCTCACACTGGTCCACACCATCTCGCTAAAACCTGCTGTGACACCGGGGCTGCCCCGGCTCTCGGGGCTTGTCAGGAGGTGGCCCACGGGGCACAGCGTCCCTTTGGGTGGCCACCCCTGGGGTGAGGAGCTTGTCCGGGGACAGTGGGGACAGGCTCAGGGGACATCCGCGGGCAGCTCCGGCTCACCCATCTGGACAGCAGCGAGTGTGGAGCAAGCCGCGGGGGGGGTGGGGATTTACACGCCCCCCAAGCT